CTAACTCCAGTGTGGATATGGCTGGTTGAGGTTAGAAAATAAAACACCATTACATTGATGCTAAAAGCATTCTTATACATTGAGAAAGGTTAATTTATTTGAATTCTTGATGTGTCTATTCTAAAAGAGAACTGGAAGAGAAACCATTTTAGTGTATGTGGTTTGACTTGAGGAAGAGAATAACACTCCTCTCATTCTTAGGAAATTCCTGTGCAAGATTATGATTATTGACTTGCTTAGGAAGTAACTTATTTAGGATAGTTAAGACTTTCACTTTTAACTAGTGAATCTGTTTTTATTCATCTTTTGTTTAAAATCTCTGAATTAATAGAAATTTTTCTTCCACCTAAGAAAGTAGTGTATAGAGCAATAGTGTCTATTAAAAATCTTGGTGGTGATGAAAATGCTCTGTATCTGTGCTGTCCAAAATGGTAACCACCAACCTGATGTGGCTGTTTAGCAATTAAAATGTGTCAACTGAAAAATTAATTTTAAATTTAAATATAAATCACTTAAATTGAAATATCCACATTGGGCAGTTCAAGTATAGAGTGTATCTACCAGTTAATATTTATCTCTGGTTTGAAATATTCCATTGAATTTTCATCCTACATATCTAAATTCTGATTTGGAAAATGTGGCAACTATTATGGTGTTTGATAATTGTAAATTACTTCCAGATAATTTGTTTGAATCTCCAATCTTCATTGCATGCTTTCAAGATAGGTGTTTATGGAACGACAGCCCGGAAATTAGCTTGTTAGCTTATTCCTTTGCCTTTTCTAATAAGTGATCTGTGAGAATTTTTGGTTAATTAGATTTATTATTTATTGAAGTTGAGCTCCTTAGTATTATTGAGACCCAATATCATTAAGCACAGGAGGAAAATATACATTATATCCAGTGGAAAGCCCAAAAGTAGAATTCATGAGTTTTAGGTCAGCAAAAGTTCAGGCATTTATGGAAGTCAAAAGAGAACCCATTTCATATGAAAAGTTACTGCAGATCCTCAACTTTTAAAGGTTTACCACATAGTCATTGTATTTTGCCTGCGAACTCCCTGCTCTTTGAATCCAACCTCCAACAGAATTTCAGTAGTATTGCATTAACCTTGTGCATGTGGAGTAGAAATGATATTTCATTTATTAATTGAATTTAAATGCATGCCTAATGTTTTAAGGGATAAAGAACAGAATGTCTACCCACCAGCTGCCTTATTATACTCTGGTACCACTTCAAAATTGGTAAGAACCTTAAGTGAAAAAGTCAATAGAATGCATTTGACTTAATTTAGTTTCATCTAACATGTAAACTCACTAATGCTGTATGAAATATAGACCTACCAATGTAGTCCTGTTATATTGATAGCCTCAGTTCCACAAAAGAAAGAAGGTAAGCATTTGTTTGGTGTTCCTGTGTGTCATGCAGTGTGTTACATCTATTACACCCATTTTTCTTGTTTTCTTGCATGTTCTGAAGCAAGTAACATCACCCTTGCTTTTATGGATGAGGTCATGAAGAGTTACACAGTTAATTAATTTGACCAAGTTTCCAAAAGTAGAAATTCTGTTTAATTCCAAAGTTCTTGCTCTTCACTGGAAAAGCAAGACATATAACTGTAGATGATCCCCAGGTTGGTTAATTCAAGAACACAATGATATCATTAAAAACACAGGGACATTTAATCTTTCCACTATCCCCTCCTAGTCTCAAGTTGGCAGACACAACTCTGGACATCACATCCTTAAGCAAATAGATCCAAAGATGGTACAACACTTTCTTCTAGCACATATCTATATGGTTTTTTTTTTTTTTTTTTTTTAATCAGAAGGAAATGTTTTCCCCAGAAGTTTCTCGTCTCTCAGGAAACTTGCTTTTTTTCCTCATTCAGTGGTCAGGGCATACCCTAACCCATCCCTAAACCATTCACTGGCAAGGGGAATACAACTATGTATGATAATTGATGCCATAGTTGGTATGGAGGAATGGACATTTGATCCCTGGGACAGTAGATTGGGTCATCATTCCAGAGGTGGAGGAAGGTCAAATGCTGGGATTCATTTCAGCTCATCCAACAAGGAAGAAGTGCTGAGGAACACTGATAGACACCTAGCTAGTGATGGCTGCCATATTTGTTTGAAAATTTTAAATGTACATTTGTTATAGAATTAATACCATTTGGCCTTCTCTTCTCAGTGTTGGTGAGCTCTCTCTTTGGTAGATTCTCAATTCTGTAATCACGGGGACTTCCTGTTTTCACCAGTACAAGGTAGAGTCTCTTGTCCTACAGCATACTTGATTAATATTTACTCAGTTGATTAAAGTTGGCCCATGACAATTAATTAAAATTTTTCTTACATTTTCACTAAATCTAATTTATTTAATATCAACTTTTTCCTTTTAATATCAACACCCTCCCAGTAAAGTTATATTTATTCATTCCAGAAAATGATTAATGAGCCTTAATCATAAAGGTACTGGAATAAAGTTGCTGTGGGTGCTGTGTAATATAAACCCTGTGAATACTGTTTACAATTTTGTGTGGGTGTAGGAGGAAAAAAGAGTCAAATATAAATAAGAGTGGGAAAGAAAACTTGTTTTGAGTCCATTTTATACATCTGTTAATGTTTTGAAGAATCTGCAGTAGAATCTATCATCTTAAAGATTATGAAGTGAAAGAAATGATCTGTATATAAAGTCACTGAGATTCTTAAAGCTCCATTATTAAATTTTTCTTATGCAGACTAATTACTTTAATAATTTTAAATTTATTGTACTATTATACATGCCACTAGTTTCATTAAAAATATTTTCCTATAAAATGAGATCAAAAGACCAGATTTTGATTATGCTAATCTGGTGCGAAGTATGAAGCCAGTGTTCCAAGTCTCAATTTGTTTTATAATATAGACCCTTTTTTTGAGTTTATCTTTTCCAATTAAAGATTTTTTTTCTAAACTTTCCTTCATTGGATCAGGTTCAGTTACTGTATGTGTTCATAATTTTTCCACTTCATCAGCTCTTATTGCTGACATATAAACTTCCATGTTTAAAAAAATTGAGATAGTAGAGTTTTCTAAAAAGAGGTAGTCTTTATTTGCCTGACAAATGGTCAGTTCATTGGGATAAACAAACAGTTCCTACCTTGTTCAAGAATATTTATTTATAGTATTTTCTCTCAGGTGACATGAAAATTCAATTCAACACAAAAACATGAATGATTTTTAAAACATTTTATTGTCTACTAATGATACTTATTTTTAGTTACAGAATTTGCTAAGTGATTGTAGGCACAAATCATTGAGTTCTTGGGTCATTTCTAAAAGCAACTGAAGAATCTAATTCAGTTCTGTGATTTTCTGATCTTTTTAATCCTGGGAAAAAATACCAAAAGGAACAATTAAATAATTTACTAACATTTCTAGTGAGTATTATTTGCAATAACATGTATCTTTTAAGTTTTGTCAAAAAAAAATGTACAACCATTGAGTTGAGCTATAATTTCCTAAGTTTCTTTCTTATGTAATTGTCATTAGATATTAGGTCCCTAACTTCACAACACTTAAAGCCTATAAATAACAATTGCTACAATTCATCAAGTACTTCCTGCCTGCCAGGCTTTGAGCACATCACTTTAGTTCATTTCCATAAAACAACTCTAAAAATCTATCATATTTATACTAATTCTAAACAGGAAGAAACTGAGTTTTAAAGATTTTGAACTCCCTGCCAAAATCACCTTTCTGTAAATAGCTTTAGCAAGGCATGAGCTCATAATAAAGTCAATGATGTTAATTATTAATAAAGAGATAAATGTATTTCTTATTTTTAAATATTTTGTTTTAGTTGTAGTTGGACACAATACCTTTATTTTATTTTTATGTGGTTCTAGGGATGGATCAAACCCAGCACCCCACACATGTGCTAAACAAGCTTTCTACCACTGAGCCACAACCCCAGCCCTGATAAATGTATTTTCTATACAAACCAAGAATATATTTTAATTAATGGTAGGCACCAGATTATTCAATCCTGGTTAATTTTCAAAAATTTTGCCTATTCTTCTCCATAAATATGCTCACAACTGTGAAGCCATGTATGACACATTATAATTGTTTATTAGGAAACTATGGCATTTATATTTGAAAAGATATTTTTTAATTATCTGCTTTCGTTTCTTCCTCCCATTTTAAAGAAGGGAAAACACCCATAAACTTGAAATAATTTGTACAATACTGCCTCCTCTTTGAGGGCAAAACCAGAAATGGAGCCCAGGTGCCCTGGTTCCCTATCCAGGTCATTTCCACCTCACTCCTTTCTGCTTCTCAGTAGAAAACCATCAATTGCATTTATAAATTAGAGTCATATTTGGTTACATATATATGACAGAATCACATAATCTCATAGGGTTTATAGATATGATAAGGATTGTTATAATGACTATCCCCATTTGTTTGAAAGAGCTTCAATGGAAGAACATTTAGTGCTAAACTGTGACAACTTCTTTCTAAAAGCTTAATCTGTAGAGTTTCAGCTCTAAAAAAAGAATATAATTGTGTATTTTAGCCTCATTCAAGTTAGATGTCTACTATAGACAGGTAACCTTCCTTTAGGTCTTTAAAGAGAGCTTCTATCGACCTTTTGTACCTTGTTCAAATATTGGTACCTTCTGACTCCCCAAAATTATTCCTTTTTTTAATAATTTAGCCTATTCTAGCTAGTCAAACCTTTTAAATATAAAAACTGATATTTTTTATTGTTACTCTCAAAAGTAAAGGGTTTCAGTACTATATATTCTGGTAAGAATTAAATAATTTCAGAATTTAAACCCACCATAAAAGATATGATCTTAGTTACCTAGTCATATATATAAACTGATTTATAATATAAAGTTACAAAACATGCTTGTTACTACAGCTTTACATCCGGAGTTGTTTGAGAATTTAGAACTGCACAATTCTGTTGTGCCATTTTCCCCCAGGATTTGTCTCTTAGCAGCTTCAGTGTATACTCACCACTTCTTCCCGCTTGGTCTTGTCTGTTGCTGGCCAAGCTTCCAGAGGCAAATCAGGAAGAAGGGGGGGCAGCTGCATGGGGAACATCGGAGGCAGATGTGGCTGTGGTGGCAGGGGATGCAGGGAGTGCAGAGGTGGTTGGGGCTGGACGGGCTGCATGGGCTGCATGGGCTGCATGGGCTGCATAGGCTGGATGGGCTGGTGAGACTGTGGCTGAATGGACTGGGGCTGGAAGGGCTGCTGGAAGGGCTGCTGGGCAGGTGGAGGGAGGTTTGGCTGGTGGTGTTGGTTTGGAGTCATGGAGTGGTGGCCAGGAACTGGCATCATTGGCTGCTGGGGGGCCACGGGCTGTTGAGCTGGCACCACTGGGATGTGGTGATGAGGCTGAAGGGTGTGACTCGGGGTATGCTGTTGAGACAGCACAGGGATGATTTGGTGGTGCAGCCATCCACCCATGGGTTCGTAACCATAGGAAGGATACTGGTGAGAAACAGAGAGTCAGGTTTACCATTGGCTCAGTTGACTTCCAACTGGAGAAGTAGCAATGATTTCTTTGTCATTATGACCATATGAATATTTTAGTCATTTTTTTCCTTTGCAAGAATTTTCAACTATGTACACAGATATGACCTTTTACAAACTAAAATTCTCATTAGTGTCTGTATGTGGAGTAGACATGATATTTTGCTTAATAATGGAATTTAAATGCATACCTAAATATTTTAAGGGAATAAAGAACAAAATATCTACATACCGGCTGCCTTATCATGTTCTGGTACCACTTGAAAGGGGTAATCACCTTAAAAGAAAGAGATATTAGAATACATTTGATTTAATTTAGCTTCATCCAACATGTAAACTCACTAATGCAGTATGAAATATAGACTCACTAATGCAGTCCTGTCAGTATTGATAGCCTTAGAATGTGATTTCTACAAAAGAAAGAAGAAGGTAAACATTTGTCTGGTGCTTCCTATGTGTCAGGCACTGTGTTACATGCATCTCACACATTTTTCATGTTTTCTCACATGTTTTGAGGCAAGTATCATCACACTCATTTTTGTGGACAAGATCATGAATCCTTAAAGATGTTCATTAGCTTGACTGCATTTGCAAAAGTAGTAATTGTGTTTAATTCTACAGCAAGAGAATAACAAGCAAAAAAATTATGACATCATAATGTGATATAGCATTAATTTAATTATTTTTATTTGATGACACAGTGGAATTAAAGGAGGTGGAAACACTGTCATTCTTGAAACACATGTTTACTGGTCAAATATGTCAATCATTTAAGGTTTATCAGAAAATCTTGCCTCAAATTCTTACTAACATTTTTCTTCAGCTTGTATGTATAAACAGACTCATAGATTGCAACCTCAACCTATGAGACAAGTAAGAGTTTCATCCCTTTCTGAAAAGTATATACTTGGCTAAACTCAGATTTAGGGCTCCTTCATTTAATAGTATGGAATTTAATTGGTAAAATTTAAAATTATTATTTTTTTATTTTGTTCTAATTAGTTATTAACCTTTGTCAAGTTACATGCGATATAGCGCTTTTCATATCCACTAACTAATCTCTCCTCCAAACAGTATTTTGAAGTGTGGTTATCATTATTTCTAATCTGCAGATGAGTAAAACATTTTCAGAGAGAAAATGATTTACCCAAGATTATGGACTTAGTATGGGCTTGGGAATAAACCTAACCCAATTTCTAGAACTCTTATGCTTCCATTACTCTGCAGAGTCTCTCATGTAGATATCACTAAGTCACTTATCTTTCAGTAAAGCCAATAAGAGACACACATGGAGTGTGAACATGTTAGAATCATGAATTTTTTGAGCTAGAAGGGATCTTAAATAACATCTTACCCAATCCCCACATTTTATGAGATGGGATAAAACAAGGATGTTTAAGCAGAGTTCACTTTCTTTCCTATTATGGAGCCTCCCTAAGTGGTAGTTCATGGTGGATAAAATTATTGCCATATTTAAGAGGAGATACTGAGTCTGAGTGGCCAAATGGGAGGGTGCTGAGACAATGCAGGCTTAAGGCCATCTGCCAGGGCTTAAACTGGGAAGCTAGTAGAGGGAACTGAAAAAGTGGGACCATTTGAGAAACATTTTGAAGAATCAACACACTAGTCTTTATTGAGCTCAGCACATTTTTAACTCAAACAGTGGTCAAAATTAGTAAATAGAAAAATTACCTCATAGCTGAAGTTGATATAACCAGGGTGCCCAGGATGAGGTGGTAGCTTTTATAGGAAGGGGAAAGGAGAATAGAAAGAGAGAAAGAGAAGAAGAGAGAAAGAGAGAGAGAGAAAGAGAGAGAGAAGGGGAGGAGAGAGGGAGAGAGAGAGGAAAAGAGGAGAAAGGAACAGATTAAGTCAATATTGTTCACATTAAGGGAGACTGAAGATACTTTTAAAAAAATCTATATAGTGCAGAATATATTTGAGATCTACTTTTACTTCGAACATGTATACTGTGTAGGAGGAGCCTTCTTGTTTTAAAGAGGTCCAAAACAACTAAATGACTTTCTCCAGGGCTATAGTCTTATAGTGGGAGACCTGGAAATAGAAGCCATCATACATTTATTCTCCAGTGATCAGACAAGCCCATCCACCCCATGTTGTCAAGGAATCCTATCATATCCCACCCACCAATTTACTTTTTGAAGAAACACTCCATGTTGGGGAGAGGTATGTTTTGTAACACAATTTAAAAATACCAAGGTGAAAAGAATGGTCTCACAAAAGGTTTCTTATATATCAGATTATTAAGTGCTTAAGTATCAGAAGAATTCCTCATACTTAGCAGGCAAAATAAATAAATAACACATACACCCTAACAAAAGGAACAACTAAGTGGGAATTTTTAATGAATGTGAGAACAAGATGGGTGCGATAAAATAGAAATATCCTGAATCCCTCTCCTGGACAATGAAAGCCTTGATTTATGACATTTAGGCCAATCCTTTTTATTATTCTATCAATGGATTTATGGCAGAAATTTGAATGTGCAAACTAATGAGCAACCTGAATAATTATCTAAACCAGGACTGTCTGTTCTTTCTGAAGTGGGAGTCAAGTCACTCATGCCTGCCTCATGGCATTGTGGATGTCCCTGGTGTACAGAAGAGAGGAGAGAGCATGATGAAGAAACTCTCTCAGACATGGGGCTAATTAAGAGTTGACTTTTCTATTTTTTTTTAAATGCTTGTATTTTATAAGAGGAGTTATTCACTCTCATTGTGAGTATGAGTTAATTTAGTCAGGTAACTGCATTTCCTATACTGTCTTGATATAAGCCCTCTAGGAGTGCAGGTGTTGAATCATGGAGTGGAAAGGGGGCTGAATTTGTAATGCAGGGGTCCCTCAAGGGGCTAGGAATTGCCACAATGCAGGATTTCAGGAAGGCAGAGCACAGAATCTTGGTCTAATGGGTAAGAAAGGAAGAGAGGAGGCAGGTATGCAAGCTTACTGGCTTCTGGTTGTATCAACTGCTCTTTATGCCACCAAAAGGCATTGCCTTTATGTGACCTAAGCTCTCTGCCCTTAAGTACCTGTGTCTACAGAGTGGATCAGATTTCCTAGTCTTTGGTTCATTAGAATGTAAAACATACCAATATGTTTTGGGCATAGGTAGGACAACAAAGCCAAACTACCTACTTAGCAGACGTGCCCAAAAGGGTGAGGCTTCTGAGAACAGGGAAATGGTTCAAAGACAGGAATTCCTAACACAGAAATTTTACCCATTCCAGGGTAACAGCAGTGGTATTTGGAGGGCAAGAAGAGATTGGAAAACTTGTGAGAAATTGGTTTTAGATAGTTTTGTATTATTTTCCTAAGGATGATGAAATATTTTCTCTGGAAACCTTTCAAGGGTCCCTTCACAAGATTCCTCCACGTAGAGATGGACAGTGATATTTACAAGTTGTTTCAACAGAACCTCTTGGGAGTAATTCTTAAAATGCAGCATCCTGGGCCCCACCCCAGCTGTACTGAATCAGAACCTTTGGAGGAGGTGTTTGGTAATATACTTAAAAAGAAAACAACTCCTTAAGGTTTTATTCAACACAGAGACATTTAAGTATGTATGTTCTTATACTGTTTTAAACCCTGAAATTTACCAACTATGGGACAAATTTTTATTTCTAAGCTTATTCAAGGGGTATTTTACTCACAGGCATAGCAAAGGCTGCTCCCAGGAGGCAGGCAAACAAAATCCAAGTCCCCATTTCTTGATGGTTCTGAAATGTTAACAACATCTTTTCTTAACTCTTCTCAAATGTGAACATAATTAATATTCCATAAAACATACATAATCTACATTAATATGTTGATAATAAGAAAGATGGGGCAATTTTTGTGAGGTGACTTCATTCATATGCAATTTCAAGTTATCAGTCCATATTATTTTCTGCAGTCAGAATAGTTATAAAAATATATTTTAAAATGAGGCTGAGAGCTTAACAAGTTATATGTTATAAATATTCTAAAAGATTGGTCAGTTGTCAAAGTGCACAATGTTTTATACTTTTAGAACAAGAAGCCACAGAAATATTTTTGTACAGTTTACCTGGGCATTGCTACTGTTAAAAACAAAGACTAATTACTTGAGAAGCTATTAAGTAATTTTCCAAAATAGATTAAGAAGGGAGTGAGATGTTCCAAATGTTCCCATCTATAGAACTTCAGGCAAGTTCAACTTCAGTGAAGTTAAACACCTTTGAATTTCAGAGATGGAGTTAAAGATGTGATTGAACAAAAAAGAGAAGACAGCACTACTATTCTGAGATTCTTTACTGAATTTTGAATGATTTTTGCCTAAAAGATTCCATCTTCAGTCAATAACATCTTTTTGTTTGACACTGCACTGTCAGGCTATCCCAAAATATTCACATTGTTTTGTCACACAAATTATTGACAGGCTTGGAAAATTGTCAGAAGAAAAATCTTGATGTTTATGTGGAAAGAATATATCACATGTAATAATGCTGACTATTAAAAGTATGCTGAAGTTTTCTACCTCCTAAATCTGTTTTTAATATTTGAGTTAATATGAAAAAAAAACATTCTGTTGATGATTCCACTTTATAAAAATTAAATAAAATGGTTTTTGAAGAAGTGGATCACAGCCTGAGAGAACATTATTTTTATTTTAATTGATAAGCAATTAAAATAAACATGTTGTTGAAAAATATGTACTCAAAAAGAGCTTTGGGATTCTGGAATCTAAAATTTAATAAATACATACAAACACTTTACTGCATTATAAAGCAAAATGATTCATCTAAATAAATCAGGGCCTAATTTAATTATGGTCCAACTGAAGAAGTAACTAACTATTGATGGCATAAAGTATTAGAAATGTAGGATATATTTGCATTGAAACATAAAATTCAGAAAAAGGCACAATAAAATATACCAAATTATGAATAAAATCCACATACCTTTGAATGTATTCTGATAAGTTTCTGTCTGAAACTCAGGGATGCTTGATCCTTTAGATTTCTTCCAACTACAAGTCCAATATATATCATTCATGGCATCTAGAACAACCAATCAGGCTTCTGAATGAAAAAAGTGTTGAGTATAACTAAAAATCTCCATATCATGAATTTTTAGAAGCTGTGATCAACATTAAGGCTGTATGTTGTGATTAGTGCATGTAGAGTCTTTCATTACAGGCAATAATAGGTTTAGGAGGGGAAAAGTTTCATCAGGTTGTTTTGAAGTCAGCAAATTAGTTGACAGCACATGCTGATATATTCAAATTTAGTTTTAAGAAGTATTATACCATTGTCTATTTTGCCATTCTAGCAAACAACATTGTTCTTAAAAAAAAAAAAAAAGGTAGATGGTTGAGTTTCCCTAGTGTAATCACAATGGCCACAAGGGTTGTCCAGCCTTTTCAGATCAGGATACATTGATTCAAACCCCCATTCTGGTAAAAACCCAAAGCTCTCCCCTGTATGTCTCTGAGGGATCATAATTTTATGATAATCAGTGCTCTACTGCTGTCCTTTAAGATATTTTCATTGTTCCCTGCGGCTACTCCTTTATCACCACTCTAAAGTGTACCAAAACAGGGAACAAAGTCCCTTCTTCTGGGCCCATCATGAAACCTATTTGCTATCCAAGCAATCATGACCTCAAGGTTATTACTGTAGCAAAACTTATACTAACATAGAAAGTACAAAGAAAGAGACATGGTATATGCCAGACAGCACACTTAAAATGTATTTCAATGCTTACAAAAAATATATCACAGGGAATATTTTCCTTTCTCCCCTACTCCAAAAAGAAACCTGATCTCTCTCTGTATGGCATCCTACCTTTGCCCACACCAGTTCCACTTTCTCATGTTGGCAAACGACAATAACAAAGGCTGGAAAGGATGTCCCATTGTTGGAGGAAATGAGAATGTAACTTCCCAATGTTCAGCTGAAAAACTAAAAAGAAATCTACGATATAACCCAGAAATCCTACTTCTGGGTATATTTCCAAAAGAAATGAAATCAGCATACCAAAGAGATACCTACCCATGACAATATTTACTGAGGCACTATTTACAAGAGCTTTATAAAATCAGACTTGATACACATTGATGGGTGAGTAGATAAAGAAAATGTGGAACTCGTACACAATAGAATATTATTCAGTCACTAAGAATAAAATCCTGTCATTTGCAGCAAAATGTATGGAAATAGAGGATATGATGTTAAGGTAAATAAGCCAGACAAAGACAGAAAATGCTGCGTGTTCTCTTTCCAATGTGGAAACTGAAACAGTTGGTCTGAATGTAAAATAGTGATTAGAATCTAGGAAAGATAGGGAGAGGAGGAATAAGGAAAGATGGGATACCAAATACCAAAGCACAATTAAATAGAAAATTAAGTTCTTATGTTTCACAGAACAGGGGGATGACTGTAGTTAACATTAATCTATTTTAAGAAAATCTGGATGAGAGGAGCACAAAGCCTCCAAGCATGAAGAAGTGATAAGGAGATGGAAATGCTAATTACCCGGACTTGATTAGTGCATGCTGTATTCATGTGTTAAAACTTTACACTTTACCCCAAATATATACAATTCATACATGATAATAAAATATAATTAATCCCACCCATTATGTATAATTATAATATGCCAGTAAAATATAGAGAAAAGAAAATAATAAAATATAAAAAATACTGAAGTTTTGAAGAAAATACAAAGTTTTAATTGATATTTTTCTGTAAGCCAGTATTTCATTTATGTATAAGCTGACTTTATAAAAGACAACAGATTCACTAGATCAACTACTTATTTTGTTACATGAAGGCTGTAACATTTTCAGAGGACTTGTGTTTTTATTTCTCTTGCTTTTTGAAGCTAAATATTTCTTTTCTTTGTTAAAAATGAATCTTAAGCATAAAATATTTTCTTCTATGGCAATGTCTCTGAGGCAAATACAATCAAATGGTCCCAGAATGTGTCTTTATTTACTTGTGCATTCTTTTGGTGTGTGTGTGTGTGTGTTGAACACCTATGAATCTCAGACTGTTGGTATTACAATAGGGAACAAATGATATGTGAATTTCTTACTGTTCTTAAAAGCTCTTCTCCAAAATGATAAGTGTATAAACACCCTTGTGAATTATAATTGAGTTCTTTTGCCATTTTTTTGTAATTGTTATTCTTTCTCTTGGATGCAGCACATCACATTTTGCTATACCCAGGATGCTTATGCTTGCAACTTCTCCCCTTCTAATTTACCATTTTTAATTTACAGTGTGCTGAAAAACTACATGTCCAAGCTTGTTAGAAGCATGTGTTCACTACAAATAAAGGAATGTTGTAGGTGAGCAGGGCTGCTCACATGGCTCACCTGTGAGAAAAGTACAAGAATTTCACTTTAATGGCATTGAATTTTACTTCTTGGATCTTACCAGCATTTGAAGTATATCTTTGGAGAAGTCCACTATTATGAGATCTACAAGTCTTTCTTGTCATCTGTAAGAGCTCAACTCTTGAGTCTTCTATTAGGGCAGGCCCAGGATTGTCCAATATTGACCAATATTCTGGAATAATTTCAAGAATAGGTATTCTTATGTAACTGGAGTAAAAATTGGCTTTTAAATGTTTCTGCAGATACTAAAAAAATGTCATTCTCTTGGATTCTTTTTTAATTGAGATGGTGTGGGAATTGTGCCATCTTCAGAACTTACGTACTTTGCCACTAATTGATTCTGATAAAATTTCAGACTTTGGCCATATTGCAATCCTTGGAAGTTATGAATTGTGTCTTATACCTCCTTGGGAGCTCTTTTGTACCTGGAAAAAAATCTCTCATACAAAGTAATCTCTGGACAGTTAATTGGTTAAAATGCACAAAAGTTATCCATGACATATAGAAAATGTTCTTAGTTGATGTGAAGTCTTCACAGACAAAGAAATCATGTAGTGATTTATATGGATCATTGAATAGCTGAGATGAAAAAGAATGGTCTCCCTTCTATAAAATCCTTTCTCCCACCCTCCCTCTTCTATCAATTTGGGCAGATATTCACCAAAATATTAACCATAGTTATCTAAGACACTCATTCCTGAAAGTCTCTGGGTAACTCAGATTTTATTTTATTTTTTAAACAATCTTTGAATACAATAAATTCAGGAAAAGTGCAAGAAATTTGGGTTATAATATTCTCTCATTCATGTTCAGCAAGAGTGAGGAGGGGTAATGCTAGATATTCCATAGACCTTGGGTTTACTTAACATACTTTCTTAGGATTTAGACAATACATGTCTAAATCTTAGGGAAAATAAAAGTCAAATATAAAATCCAAGACAAAAAGCACAATATTTTTTTTAAAGTGAGAAAGCCCTTTTGGATTGCAAGTAGGTAATATCTTAATAATATAAACATTCACAGGAAGAATTCATACAGCTTGTAATTTGAAAGGTCTGTAGGCATTTGGTAACTATCTGGTGTAGCAACTTTCAATAAGGGAAATTATATGCACATGGATAGTGTGTTGTTTGGGTTATAATTAACTGGCAACTGTCGGGAGTGAAAATGTTACATCCATGTTAATAGAGGTAGCACAGTAATGTAAAAACAAGCATTTTTTTTCCTGTTTATTTAACAAAATAAACCAGAGTAAATTGCACTTTCCTACTGGGGTTCAACAGACACATAAACAGATCAGTACTTTCTAAATAAAAACAACATGATATGGTGGAAAGAACTTGG